CTTAAGTTTAAAATTTTGTGTTTTTCTTTGTATCCGATAATGAGTTATCGAGGATACAGACATACAGACACACAGATACACACACAGATACACATACATATATCATCGTGAAAATTGTCAAAACGGATTTAGGGAACCTCAAAACGTAAAAATCCGTTGAAAACTCAAGTTATAAATTGTGAGCACTTAGATCTACATTTTAAAACATTCACTCAAGGCGCCATCTTCTTACCATCTTAATGTCAGTCTAGTAGTACCACATTATTTTGACTATTTGTATGGAATGTCATCTCCTCTCCCATCTACATCGATGGTAAAATCAAAGTTAGATTTGCTAGTTTACTCACATCAAACCAAACAACAGCAATTGACAGCAATGGCGCGATGTACCAAAAATTAATATTTAGTTAAACGAATTTTTAAAGTGTACTTTTTCAATAAATTTTAATTATGAAATCGGTATAATATTTAAAGTGCCCTTTCAATACTTAAATCTCATTTAATTTGTTTGTAAAATTGGCTTACAGAGAATAAAATCCTAGTTATAAAATCATTGTGTTAGGGACTATAATTTTGTGAAATTGTCAATTCGCAATTCAAATTAAGTTTCGCGCGCCTGTCATTTGTCACCTATAAGTAGGATGTTTGTTTATTTACATTGTATTTGTTTTGGGCGAGATTTATTATTTGTGATTTTTAGATAATAGTCTCATTATAATAGTGCTTTTGAGTTTTATTAAGTGTTCTGTATCTGTAAGGTGTGGAGGTTGGGTGCATGCTCATTAAGTATTAATTTAAGTTTAGTTTTCGTGCTTTCGTCATAAATATAATATTTAGCATGTGTATGACTTAATTTTTTGGAATATTGGTTGCTACACGAACATCTAAAAATATTTATTTACTAAACCCAGGATATGTTGTATTATGTGGTGTATTAAAGGACATTTCAGGTACCAAACGTTTGTTATTGATGAACTTAATTAAAAATCTTACTATCCTTATTCTTATATTATGAAATGAATGATGTAGTACTTTGTATACATGTAAACGGTAATAAAACCGTCACAAATCAGATTGCAGTTTGATTATAGACAAAATTTTGCAAAATCTCAATATTCTGAATTTGAAGATATGCATTTATCGTAAGAAACAAAATTTTACTACTTACTCGGATACATCTGAAATGTTGGGAATTTTTTATCACGTGATTGAGGATTAGATTTAAATGTAGATGTAATAAACAAACGCTCTAGACTTTATTGGTCACGTGATAAAATGACAATGATAAGTAAGAAGTTTATACTTTTTACATTTGACTTTTGAGACTAGAAATCAACCTACATTTGAAATCTGAACAAAAATTAAACAAACTAATTACTTTTATATTCACGCTAGCACAAACAGAGGATAAATCGATAAACTTGGCTTCACAGAATACCTAATTTAAGACATGGAACGAACATCTCATCTTTTCAAATCGAGATGTAAAAAATGTAATCTGGGCAGCTACATCTCGGATAAACAAACGCAGATGTAGATAAGGTAGATGTGTTCTATATGGATAAACAAATGCCCGAGATGTAAAAAATGCATCGGATGTGGATATTCAAACGCAACATAAGTTAAACTATGGCAAACACCATTAATAGGTCTGCAAATAAATGTATGGGGTTTAAAAGTGTTAAACGTGACATACACCGCAATTGAAAATAACCTTGTTTCATTCATACTTATGAAAATTAAAGATAAGGAGGTGAGTCGACATACTCGCAATACGGTCCCAAAAACCTAACGCTAATTGAGCTTTCTTAATTCACCGCAAGGGCACTAGCGCTAGTAGTGCTGTTCAAAATACATGGCTTCTTATGGGAGTTTTAAATAATTTTGTCAAAGTAATAAAAATAAACTTGTTTATTGCCAAATAAAGCACAGAATATACAGTTGTATTTATTTCTACATAAGTCTCACGTTTTAATTCATAAATTATTTAATTTTATCTATATAAAATGCAACTTAAGAAGGTATGACCAAATTCAAAAAGATTTGTTAAATGGTGAAATTTTGTGTCTAAATTTTTTTGAATTATACCTGAATAGAGTTTTAATAGCAAAATAAAACACAGTTAACAATTTTTTTTTATTATTATTGTACAAGCATAAAGGAAGATTTGGGAATGTACACGATATTGCCTAATCCTTTAATTTAAGCCTACCTCTTTTTATTTTGCTAACAGTACCATCAGTAAAAAGAGTCTTATAATATTTGGAAATATCTTCTAAAACGTGTAGAACAGCATCATCTCTAGAAAGTGCTTTATCGGCCCTATGAACAATATATATGCTGCCACTGTTCTAAGGGTTTAGGATCCTATAAAAACATTTACAATGACGAAAATTGGGATTCAACAAAAAAGTAATAGTAGTAACTCTTTATCTAACATTAATACTCTATAGAAAAACAAATTTTCTTTTCTAGTAAGTAAAATTTAACGTGTAATTATTGTTGTTTGTAAGTCAGGATCTATGACTACACACGTGTTGTGACTAGTTTACAATAATATTATATTTAGAAATAAATACATTATTTTACTTACATTAGAATCTTTAAAAATACATTCAATTGATTTCTTCTTGTATTTTCTTTAGTTATACATCTGATTTGTATCCCATTTTACAATCTGGAATGAAGTAAATCTTGCTTTGATGGTTTTTGTTACTCATGTTACTTGTACTCAGAACTTTTTTTCACATTATTTTGATTCTGTTCACCAATTTAATAAAAAACACTTCATATTACATTGACTTACATAGAAAATTAACAGCACTACTGTTCGACATGCCAACTACAGACAATTTCGCGATTTTTATAAAAAGAAGGACGGACATTTGAAATTTGACCATTGCCTCCTTCTCTCTAGTCTTTATATTCAAAACTATCATTTCGGTACGAGTGTCATCCTGTTAATTGGAGTGGTACTAAATTACCTTCCTCTTGTTTTTCCATTTGAGCTACCAGCTCATGACCCTATCTTTCTTATATAATCTCTCTACATATACCCCGAATAGATACTTTAATAGTATATTTTACTCAAGTTATTTATTTTATTTCATTGATAGATTCATATTTTTTAAACTTGTTGACAAACTAATTCCTTAGGACTTTTCTTCTTTCTGATCATGTTAATGTAATTATTCCTAGGGACTCATTTAAATCAGTACCCACATTTGTGTTACATCAATATAGATATACAGGGTGTTAAAAAAAAGTGTCACAAAATGAAATGGTGAATAGTATGACCCAAAATAAGCAGAAAAGTCTTAATAAATATATGACCGCAAATTAACGGTTTCGGAGATACGGACCATTTTGTGTTTATAACAATTTTTTATTATTATACAAAAACAATGATATTTATAAACAATCAATAACAACATAGAGTTAAATGAGATGTTTAAAGTACCCTCCCTCTATTTCAATGCATTGCCATTTGCACGAGCGTACATAAAATGCATGTCAGCTAATTCAATATTAGTGTAAACAGGCATAACGAAAATTTATAAAATTATTCACCCACAACAAAATAATAACTGCAAATAGTATCTATGAAAAAACATCGGTAGACTCCGATAAGAAAAGCAAGTTTTTGAGAATGAAAAAAGATAATCAAAAAATGATACAAAACACAAAACACTCCGTATCTCTGAAACCATTCATTTGCGGACATATGTTTATTTAGACTTTTCTGCATATTTTGGCCCATACTACCCCCCGTTTTATTTTGTGACACCTTTTTTTTAACACCCTGTAGATTATCGATTATCGCTTATCAAGACATCTTCGACATATACACACCCCAAGTATAGTCAAATAATTTTATTTCGTTTAATAAGCATGTTTTTTCTATTGATTTTTTATACATAAAATTTAAACTTTTTAAAATCCTGCCCAACATTGTTTCGCGCATACTTGGCAAATGAGAACCTCCTTGCACAATGCAAATATGCTGCAATTACTTTACAGACAACAACGACTTTTAGTGTTTTGCCAGGATTTTTCAAAAGGTTCTGAATTTCTACATGTACTTTTTTCCATTAAAATTTTAAATGTACCTACTTGTTCTACCAATGTCCGAATATCTAGAACACGTTTCGACAAAATCATTTTTCAGCTTCATTGGGTAATCAGCAGACGAGGCAGAAAAACATTATCTACTATTTTTCTTAGCAGACGGCACGATTATGGTCCACAGCCAATATGTCGGCTATATAATCACTCCATTACGGAAAATATATCACTAGAAGTAAAGTGATTATTGGAATCTAACTCAGAACCTCAGAGGTAAGGTGTGTTGTCACATTTTTCAGAGAAAAGAGTTTTCTCCACTCTTGGATTTACCACAGCAAGTCACATCAAAGTCAAAATTTTAGGATAACGTAAACAAATCTAACAGAAAATCGAAAAAAATTGACCAAACAATTAACTTTTGCAAAGACTCCTATTAGGTAAATTCACCGTTTCTTTATATTTTTGGTTAAAACAACAAGTGAACTTTAAAATGCCTCTCCTGTCAAATGTAAATTTGGTGACTTAACACACCTTACCTCTGAGGTGCTGAACTAAATACTTGTAATATTCATAAAAAATCTGTTTTCACAATAAGCAGTACTAAATCTACAATCAATTCAGTCTGATCAACAAACATGCTGAGGTTCCAAAGGTTTGTGAGATATTTAAAATATATTGTACTAATTTTTATTTGAAAACCCTTAGAATTGCCAATATTAAATGTATAACTCTATAGCAATTTTAGAATATTTGCACATCTATACATCTATTCAATTCGGTTTGTTTTATTTAATGAAAAGATGTGTTGGCACCTATAACATTATAGGTAAAAATCTCAATAGTGCCGGGTAAAGATTAGTTTTGACGTCAATAGCTAGGCGGTTATAGTTTAAACTATCAAAATTAACATAAAATTTGGAAAACCCATGTAGAAATGTGGACCAATAGTATTTCATATAGCTACATTTCCAAGTACACCAAGTTTGAAGAAGACTCAGACCCCCTCCAGGTTGAGAAAGTGTTAATTAGAAATATTAATAACTGTATAGGGCTCGAAGAAGTGTTGGGCTTCGTGGTTCATCATTTGTATTTAAGTTTTCACGAAATATGTTTTAAAGTGAAAGTGCACGAAGCCGACACTCGTAAAAAAATCGCTTGGGTATTCGATAATTTCGACAGACTTTTAAACTAGTGATTATTCGGTATTCATGTGTAAAATTACCATTTGTAAGTTAAATTTATATTATTAATTATTATTGCTATAAAATAAAAAGAAATAATATAATTGTAGTTTAAAGATCTTGAAACTTGTATCAGTGATTAAAGATCTTCACAAGTTTTACCGGCATTTACAAATAATGTAATGGTTGGAATTCGGAATGCAGTGTGGAAAGGGTTTGAGAGTTGGACCAGGCGCAAAAACAATCAAACGAGTTTGCTAATGTGTGCCCTTCCCAAAAGAGAATTAACAGTAATCATAGAAATTGGTGGTAAAATGCTGTAACTAATTGCATATAAATTATATTAGTATTGCTTTTGTATATTTTTTTATATGACTTTTATATTTTCATTTTTATTTAATATTCGTGGCATACATCTATGTAGGTATCTTTAAGACATTGTTTTGGATGAAAATTTAATTAGTTACACACTAAAGGAATAAAATTGTTGATTTTTTTAAATATATTTTTAATATATTTTTAATAATTAACTAGAAATCTGAGTAGGACAAAGGTTTCAAATAATTAATTCAAAATTATTAGTTAATTGCTTAATTTAAAACCTACCAGTTTTTTTGAAAATGTAGATTAATTTCGATACATTTATATTTAACAATTTAATTTTTTTAACTTGTTATTGTCGTTAATTTGGGTAGCTACAAAAAATTATCCGTAAAATATTACATAATTTTATAAGCTGTTTTGTTAAGGATATCTCACACCTCAATGGGTTTTGTATATTGACAAAATTTCTTAAAACTGTAGTCAAAGTAAATCAATTTACTTAATTGCAATTTTCTCATAACTATGTAGTGTCAAAATTCAGTTCAAAGTAAATTATATAAATTGTTAAAAATAAAATAGTTTCTGCATGTAAAAAGTTAAATTCTATATTTTTTTAACTGTTAAGGGAGAAAAATTTAAAAAAGTAATTATCAGAACAATGAATGAATACTAATTAATAAATTCTAAATTAGGTCATGGCCGGCAAAGGCAGATACGAGTCATGTTCGAGATAAACTACACACGGCTCTAAATTAAATGTATTTTTCTGAAGCCTACTTTAGAAACATTTCTTTTGGATCACTCCATATTATTTGAATTTAAGCAATATTCAGTATTCAAGCATAGTAGGCTTTTTTCCAAAAACGATCTTCTTACCAATAAAGATATATTACAAGAAATACTAGCCAGTTTATTTGATAATAGTAGTAAATATCGCTCTATTAAAGACTTTTATTGTTTAAAACATGCAAAAGAATAATTTTTCCAAATCTTTCTCTTCCTCCTTTCTTTTGAAATATTTATCTCAAATTTGGGGCTATACTTGAATCTTTTAGAAGAAAAAACTAACAATAAGAAAAAGGTTTAACAAAATTAATCTTTCAAAGAAAGTAGGATATAATTTCTGATAGTACTATTTGAGTCATTTGAATAATTATTATTTATTTTAAAATCCTTAACTTTTTAATACAAATAATTTTCATTTTAAACAAACTACAAACCTTTCAGTTTAAAATGTGATATTTTAGTAACAATTTAATCTGTTTGCTTTTATAACTTTGAAAGCATTTTCTGCGTCATTTTGTATACTTACAAGAATGGTGCAGTAAAAAACGCTTACTTTGACATATTATAATTTAAATAAATTTTGTCGGTGTGAAAAGTCCATTAAAGATGTGAGATACCCTTTTAATTGATAAATTATAATTATTTTTATAAATAATAATCGTAAAAATTTTAAATGTAGGTACAATTTTGATACTTTTTTATAAAGAGGGGTCAAGAGATACCTTAAATTGAAAGTGTTTTCATTCATCAATTCTCCTCATATACAGCGTGTCCCGAAATTAGACGGTCATATTTTAACAGCGTAATCTACATCCTAAAATAGAAGTAAAAGCTTCTATAAACATAGGTCCGAAAACGTTTCGTTTTCGAGATACAGGGTGTTACAAGTGAAGTCCTGATGGCACATTTTTGTAAATATTTTCTAAAATTTCTTTACTCATAGGTTTTTCAAAGTTAAAAAAAAATCAAATATCTGATTCCACAGGCCTACTAATTATTGTTTACACTTTCGAATAAGATAACATCAACTTATCATGAAATTTTCAAATGCTTTTCTCTTGAAAATGGTGCGTCCTAGCCAGATACAACGAAAGCTTTATTATAAAGAAAATATTCGTTTTCCAAATTTTGTAGTCAGAAATGTTAATTCTCCCCTAATTTACCCCCCTATGAAGATGATAAAAAACTGGCTTTTAGTCCAATAAATAGAGCCTAAAAAGTTTAGCATTTGTACCAAATTTTACTTAGTTTAGTTTAAAAGTTTAGAAAATATTTACAAAAATGTGCCATCAGGACTTCACTTTTAACACAACATAAAACATTTTCGGATCTATATTTATATAAACTTTTACTCCTATTTTAGGAGGTAGATTACACTGTTAAAACATGTCCGTCTAGTTTCGGGAAACCCTGTAAGTTTTTTTTGTTGACAGTTTTTAACATATTTGACTATAAAATTTAGAAAACCAATGTTTTCTTTATAATAAAGCTACTTTTGTTGCATCTCGCTAGGATGCACCATTTTCAAGAAAAAAGCATTTGAAAATTTCATGATAAATTATTCGAAAGTGTAAACAATAATTAGTAGGCCTGTGAAATCAGAAATTTTATTTTTTTTTTTACTTTGGAAAACCGGCGACTAAAGAAATTTAAGAAAATATTTACAAAAATGTGCCATCAGCACTTCACTTGTAACACCCTGTATCTCGAAAACGAAACGTTTTCGGACCTATGTTTATATGAACTTTTATTCCTATTTTAGGATGTAGATTACGCTGTTAAAATATGACCGTCTAATTTCGGGACACCCTGTATATCGGTAAATATTTATAATTTAATTATTTAATTATATACGGAAAATATTATTGGATGATGTAAAATATTTGGAAGTTAAAATATTTTAGATTGGCCTACGTTTTGTTTTCAAATACTGATTAGCTTTCTATTATTTAATTCAAATGAAAATAGACAAGCGTGTGCCAAAGTTACTTTGGCTCACGTGCTCGTCAGTATGAAGACTAGAGGTAAGGAGGCGAATTGGCATGCTCAAAATACGGTCCCAAAAATCACACGTCAATTGAGCTTTTTTAATTAACCGCATGGGCGCTGGTACGGTTTACGTAGTTCAAAAGACATGGCTTCTTATGGGAATTATACATAATTTTGTCAAAATAATAAAAATAAACTTGTTTACAGCTAAATAAAGCACAGAACATACTGTTGTATTTATTTCTAAATAAGTCTTGCATGTTTTAATTGATAAATTATTTAATTTTATCTATATAACATACAATTTTGGTATGTATGACCAAATTCGAAAAGGTTTCTTAATTGCTGAAATTTGATAAGTACAATTTTGTGACAAAATTTTTTTTTTTGAAGTGAACCAATATATTTAGTTTTAAGAGTAAAATAAAACACAGTTAACAGATTTTTTATTGTTGCAATACAAGTATAAAGGGAGATTTGGAAATGTACATGGTATTACCTCATCCTTTAATTTCAGCTGTCCCCTTTTTATTTTGCTAACAGTACCATTAGTTAAAATAGTCTCATCAAATTTTAAAATATCATCTTCTAAAAAGTGTAGCTCGCAAATAGAATCATAACTAGACAGTACTTTATCAGCCCTAGGAATCACATGATGCCATTGTTCTAAACGTTTACGATCCTATTAAAAATATTTGCAATTACTAAATTGGAGTTCAAGAAAAATAACAGTAGTAACTCTTCATCTAACATCAAAAAACATAAAAAAAGCAAATTTTCTTTTCTAGTAAGTTAAATTTAATGTGTAATTATTGTTGTTTGTAAGTTAGGATTTATGACTTTATTATTTTTTAGTATAGAATTTTGTAATTAAGTAAACTACACTCCATAAGATACGGGTTGTGACTATTTTAAAATAAATATATATTATTTAGAAATAAATACATTATTTTACTTACACTAGGAGCTTAAAAAGACTTGGATTTTTATTTCCTTGTGATTTCTTTAATTTTATATCGGATTTATATCCCGTTTTGCAACCCGGCACGAAGAAAATCCTGCTTTGTCGTTTTTTGTTACTCATTGTTACTTGTAGTTAGGTTCTTTATTTCAGCTTATTTTTATTCTTTTCACTAAATTTTACAAAAATCACTTTAATTCCCATTGACTTGTATAGAAAATAGACGTCGTTATTTTGCCACCCGCCAACTACAGTAGTTTTTTGGAACTCCATAAAAATAGGGACGGAAATTTGAAATTTGACCAAGGCCGATTCGCCTCCTTATCTCTAGTCTTCATACTCGTCAGTAATGTCAAATTATGACAATTTGCGGAAACTTTCTAGTTAGATATGAATGTGGAAATGCTTTGGATAGTGATCGTAGAAAAAATATTTTTTTGTCACGCCTCTTTGGCAACACACTGTTTACATAATGTTTTTGAGAACAGAAAGTGGCATTTTTGATGCGACTGCACCAGAAAACTGTCATTTTACCGTTCGTTAAGTTAGACGCTAAAATAGCAGTTAATTACTTTAAAAAATTAGTATGACTTGCCTAAAAATAAAATAATAATATGCTTGATTCATTCAAACGTGTTTGGCATTATAATTTGTCAGTTTTAAAATTGATGTTTTTTTTTTAATTCTTTGTTAACATAATGTATTATGATTTGCATACCAACCCAATGTAATTATAATTCGAGTAAATCAACAACAAAAAATGGTTTAAGCAAATTGTTTTTTCTTGTAATAAAAGTTTTTGATTATATAATAATTATATGTATATGCATTTCATATTTTTTAAAGAGTTTTTAATAAAATAATTAATTCGAGAACTAAGATTTTATTTCAACACACAGACAAGCGATCTAACTGGCTTGAAAACCAAAGTTTAAATGCCCTATAATGCATAAGAAATAACAAAGAGAAGAAAAAGGAAGTCAAAA